TGGAAAAGGCGCCCTTCAAACCAGAAACAACTGGAGCCGTTTGCTGATGAGGAGTGGGCCAAAATACCTGCTGAGAGGTGCAGAAGTCTCACTGACAGTTCCAGGAATCGTTTGATTGCAGTGATTGCCTCAAAAGGTTGTTCAACAAAATCTTAAGTTGTGGGCACCATCATTTTTGTAATTAATTCAGCTGAAGCATGGTTGAAAAGCAATGTCTGACTTTCATTGGTTAGGATTTATAGAATTTTTATTTATTATTACTTTTGTCAGATAAAAGTTATTTCTGTGACCATTGTGAGTTTTTTCTTTCATTGACCAAAGGGTACCAACAATTTTGTTCACGTCTGTAGTTACTCTTTCTCATCAAGTTATTTGTTACGTCACCACTCATTGGCCTGACCAATAATCATAACAATGGGGAAAAATCAAAGAAAGTCAGTGAAAATCTAAGGAGGAGAATTTTAGATTTGCATAAATGAAACACCTGCAAATTCTAGGTTCAAACAACTGCATGTAAAGTTTTTTTGGATGTGTCACCACTTTAATAAGTTCGAAGAAAGACCCAAACTCTTAATTTTAAGAAATTGGTTGAGATCTTCAGGAACAAGTATCACTAATTCTCAATTGTAACATAAACTGGGGGTGGGCGATATAAACGATATATGATAGAAACGATATAAATTTGGCCAATGATAGAGATTTTGACTATATCGCTCTATCAAGATGGCACATGTTGATGATGTCATCAAGCTGCGCCTGTTTTGGTCGAAACTATCGCAGCGGCTACAACCATTATCATCTACAAATTATGCCGGGCGACAGTCATAGCAAAGAGATGAAGCACTTTTTAAATATGGGGAAAGACAAAAACTGCGCTTCCTCCACTTCCGTAACATTGATTCATTAATGTTGAATTCTCTCACAGCTGTTCTGTTCCCATGTTGTTGCAGTATATTAATAACTAACCTCGTATTGTGGATGAATAATCTCAGTTGTTCTCCTGACTGAAGTTTGGCCCGTGTATAGCATCCTGCTATGCGATTGCATTTGTCCCTAACCACCAGAATCCCTCACGTTAACTTTTATCCAGTGGATAAAAAGTTGGCCATCCTCCAGCTTCACTGTGCTAATGTTATGCTAACATAGCTGTGTCTCTAGCAATCACGTAGCACAACATTATATACAAGGTAGTCCAACTTCAGTAACCCTACAAACGCCACTGATGTTTAGTTTTCTGTCTTCATTTATGTTGGAAGTGGTAGCAGAGCTGTACTTTCTAATTAGTTTCAAAAATCTCTCAGTCATAACATGGTATGTCATGTTTAGGTAGAAACTAGTGAGCTAACTTCCTGCTAACTTCTAACTCCGTTAAATTTAATAACTTCTGTTTTCATGGATGCTTGGATGTTAAACTTAATTGTTACACCCAATAAAGCAACAACGCTGTTGATTTAATTAAAGATGAAAGAATTTAGACCGTTTTTAACTCTTAGTATTCGTTTGACTTTGGGACCTGAAGGGACGGAGTTTTGGACCCAGATTACTCCGCGAAGCTCCTCACTAATGCATAATGCTCTGACAATCCATCAAGCAGTGCTGTTTACCAAAGTTGTACTAAAACTTTTTTTAACAGATTTCTGTACGCCAAAATCGGTCGAGGTCAGTAAGCACAACCAGAATTCATACATAAGGCACACTCTCGATTTTTGAGAAAATTAAAGGATTTTAAGTGTTCATTATACTGTAGAAAATACGTAATACAGAAGAAAATAATATATCATGATATATATTGTTACCGCACAAATTACTGCTTCAAATTATATCGCGATATGAATTTCAGGCCATATCGCCCAGCCCTAACATAAACTTTACATTTCTGGAACAAAAATAAAGCCCCTTACATTTGACTTAAATTTGCAGGAGTGAAGGAGAGGCTTTCAAATATAAGAACAATGTACCAGCTGTCAAGCACTGTGGTGGTAACATCATGCTTAAACTGGTCATATCTGAGCCTGTTTGCATAATTTTGACCATGTGTGAATTAGAAAGTCAAAAATAATGTCACCAAAGATGACTGCATTCTCATTTCACCCCCCCCAGAGAAGTCAAAAGCCAAATGACAATCATTTACATGATAAGTGAATATAAACCACAACTACAAACATGTTGGTGTCATGTGAAGGCTGTGTGCAGGCAAGATAGGAGGAATGATGGACCCAAAAGTTCAGACTTTAAAAACAAAGATTTATTACTAAATGACAAAAACAGAAAATTGGCTAAACTGGGAATACAGAAACTAAACTGGCAGGCAGACGGACGGAACACACAGCATGGGATAATTGAGAAGACACAGGGCTTGAATACACAGAGCGGGCAATCAGGGAATGGAAGACAGGAGGGAGAGACACAGCTGGGACAAAACCAGACACATTAACATAAGACACGGACCTTCAAAGTAAAACAGGAAACCCTGACTGAACTTACAGACACAGACTACCAAGCTGACACTGCAACAGAGGGAACACATAGATGTGGGCAGACACAGACTGGACACAGAACAGAGGGAGTCTGGAACCAAAGCTTAAGACTATAAAATCACAAACCAAGATGAACTTGAGGAATAGAAATGTAAAACAGAAACCAAAACCCTCACAGTCGTAAACCAAGA